ACACACACACACACACACACACACACACACACACACACACGCACGCTTATATCACTCAATAAACCAAGGCTAGCTCTGAGTGAATCCATTGGACACAGTGGGCTGCAATGTTTATGTGACTCTGTTTATGGTGGCAGCTTATTTATGTAGCTTCTTAAGATAATAGTTGTGGCTTCAGTCTGAAAGGTTGAATAGACAGTTTGTTTGATGCTTTTTTTGCTGTCATACGTCAATCATGGTCTAGGGTTGGGCAAAATCGTATCGTGTGCCATTAATTGTCAGAAAAACTTTAATTTATTATTTTTTGGCACTTGATACGATTAATGCCACCAGGCAGGATGACAGGAGATTTCCCCGGTCAGTTCGCTCGACGCTCCTTTCTGCTTCAAATATGACAAACATTTTAAAAAAAAGGTCCGTAAATAATTTATCATAACTCTGGTTTTACTTGGTCTATCAACACAATTCTGTACTTTTGACACAATTTGGAACAGATTTTTACAGAGAGCAAATCTTTCTTACTAGATTGATTTAAATTGGTCATGTGACCGCGATATGAGGGCGTCCAGGGGCTTAATCATCATAATAATCATTATCGGCTAAATAGTATTTTAATCATGATTAATTTTTTGACGATGTTGCCCAACCCTATCATGGTCTACATATGATGGCCTTTAAAAAAATTTCAATGTCAAAGGGAAATCCAATTTCTACAAAGTAATGCTGATTAAATAAAATATGTAATGTAAAATAAGCAATTACATACATATTTACTAGGGGTGCAACAATACATGTACCCGTATCGAACCGTTCAGTACAGTGCTTTTGGTTCAATACACACTAGTATCGAACAATACAGATTTTTAAAATTTATTTTATAAACTTGTCTTCTGAAGATGCTCTGTGTTGAAGGATCAGTGGATCTGTGTTCGACTACTCCACCTAGGCTGTATTTTTGAGTGCAGGTCCACTGAGAAACTTGCTGTTTCAGTGAAATTTAAGTTTAAACTTAATTTAAAAACGGTACTTTTGAGGTTAAACAAATGCTCATAAATAATTTCAATAAATTACAAGTTAAAAAGGGGCATGGAAATTTCTGTTATTCGTATCGAAAAAATATCGAACCGTGAGACTAAAATATCGAACCGAACCGTGAATTTTCAGTATCGTTGCACCCCTAATATTCACCCCATTTAAAGGGTATAAATATTTTTTATGTGCATACACATGCACCAAATTTCAGTTTTGTATTTTTGAATTACTGTTAACATTTTTCGTATTTAACGTATAACCAAATTGAAACTCTATTTAAATCCCAGGTTGTAAGGCAAAACAACTGGCAACCCATTGTGAGCAACTACTTATGGTAAAAATAAAAATAAATAATAAAAAGCATACTCCTTTTTCCTTCCTTTGAAAGTTTATTGTCTAAGAAATTACCTTACATAGGGATTGTGCTTCCATCCAGTAGCCCTCGAGTTTCTCCATCCTCTCTTTGCTGTCTCTAATGTTTTGTTCCAAATGAGCCCGCTCCATCCGCCAACGCAACTTATCCTGCTCTGCATGAGCCAGCTGGAGGTGATGGTGTCATTGTGGGAGGGAGGAGGCGGGACGTGGGAGGCAGAGGTAGCATTAAGTCATCGCTGATAAAAGCTAAAAGAACTGGTGGATTTTCATCCTTGTGTGTGGAAAAGGGCTGAAAATAAAGTGAGCTCACCTTCCTCTTTAGCAGCTGGATTTCTGCCTGCGTTACKGCATGCTTAATCTGGAGCTACAGAAAGAGGGGGAGATTAGAACAATCCTAAATCTGATTTGATTTACTGTAGAGGAACACAATTTTGGAAAGRTATCAGTTTTGACAGAGATTAATCAATAAAAGAGTTGTGCTGAAGATGCAGTTAATGAAAATGATAAAACACCTCCTTGTACTTGTGGGCCAGCTTTTCAGGGTCCAGCTCCACAGGAGACAGGTCCTGGTTTTCTGCCAGGTCAAAAACTTCAATGGAGTTTGGAAACACTGGACTCATCTCGTCTTCCTCATCCGTCGCATAATCACCAGTCTGTTATAAGACAAAAAACAAAGTGGTTACAAGTTTAAGATACAGTGGTTTGCAAAAGTATTCATACCCCTTGAACTTTTCCATATTTTGTCACATTACAACCACAAACATAAATATATTTCACTGGA